ATCATAACATTTATCGACTATAATCAGTGGTCGAAAATGAATTGACCAGAAGTGTACTAAATCACGATACCACAACACATCTACCATGTCACTGATTCAGAATAACATTTCGTATCATTGAATTCAACATAATTGATACTGAATTTATTAAAATAAAACAAGAATGCGTATTCAGGATCGTAGTTGTTGTGAATTTTAAAGTCGTCTTGTAATATTGTCTGATATTAGAATCTGCTGGTTTATTCTTGATGTATACGAATAGTCAATGTACATTTCTCACGTACTGTTGAATTTTGTACGCAGGAAGTATGAACGAAACAATTTCAGTTTCTGAATCAAAAATGCCTTCAAAGTTTTGTATTCATCTCCTTTCCTTTCTTTGCTCTCTAATACATACGCATCGCAGTCTTTTGGTTAGCAAAGAAAATTTGCATCGAACTCATTCAACTTGACATATTCAAGGCGATTTGTTAGAGTAGAATTTCAATAATTTCAATAGATCTCGGTGCTTCAATGTAAAACAAGTGTAATAGTTCATAATCGCCTTCTTAATGCATTTCCATCGTGTTTGATAGGGTTGTTGTGTGAGGCGGTCGCTTTGTGACGTTATTTGACGTTTTGTTGGAGTTGGTCGTCACAAATCATAGCTCTCAATTGCGATTTGTTTTGAAACGACGAGAATAGGCAAGGGAATAAGATAGAGTCAAGAATGGCGAATAGAAATGACGATTTACGGACAGCCGAAGTGAAGTTATCGCTTGTTGAAGTGGAACGAATGATCTCGGATACGGCACAATTGAACGATGAGGAAGAGCTGAAGAGACGTGAAGAGACGATCATCAATTTCGGCAAACATCTTTGTGAAGAGAAGGACACGGAACAGTTAAAGCAGTTAATCACATTAATTCGCCCGTATTTGACGAGTTTCGGCAAAGCGAAAGCGGCCAGAGTGGTGCGATCTCTGGTCGATATGTGCCTACAGATCGACCAAGATCCTCAGCTGAAACTCGAACTGTGCAGAGAGTGTGTGGCATGGGCCACGAAACAAAAACGTGTCTATCTGCGACATTCATTGGAAGTTCGCCTGATAAGACTGCTGAATGAGATGGGCAAATATCCCGAAGCAATAAATATGGCCACAAAGCTGAATCAAGAACTGAAGAAAGTGGAGAATAAAGACGTTCAACTGGAGGTGCAATTGGAGGAGAGTAAAAGTGGTTTCTCGTTGAACAATTTGAGTAAGGCAAAAACATCACTAGTGGCCGCCAAAACGACAGCCAATGCGCTCTATATCGAGCCAAAACTTCAAGCTCAGCTGGACTTGCAATCGGGTGTGTTGCATATGGCCGAGGATCGAGACTATAAAACGGCATTCTCCTACTTCTACGAGGCTTTCGA